TAGTAGAAATATTAAAGTATAGGTTTTTCAGACTACAATAGACATTTGGATGGTTGATGTACAAAGGGTAAACCTAATCTATCCAGCTGATAAAATCCATACAAAATGTTTGGATAATTTTATCCATGACCATCCCACAATTTCAATTTCATTTTATTTAGACTAGATAAGATTTTTTGGTTAATCTATGGCAGCCAGCCTCTGCTGTACAATAGTCACATCAAAGCATATTCTTGTGTTTGAATAGCTTTTATCAGCAATTTTCTTATCGGCAGTTTCATTCTTTCAGATTACACGCTGGTGATACAGCAACGGACGATGAAATTAAACAATTCTGTAAAGGGCAGGTGAGCTTATACACTGAAGGTTTATTGTTCCATAAAAAGATCCAAATTATAACTATATTGCAGTGTTTTATTAYATGACATTGTCTGGATGTACCCTTTATCTCACCCTTGCTACTCGTTATARAAATATTCCTGTTTCTAAAATCAGCAATAATTTCAGTTATTTCCCTTCTTTCAGATTGCACATTTTAAAATTCCAAGATATGTCAAGTTCGTTGATGAATTCCCTATAACTGTCACCGGAAAGGTATAGGCTCACATAGAAAGCTATATCTGTCCTTTCAGTCATGTAATCCCCATTCAATACTCCTCTTTTTTACCACAATCTTTTGAAACCATTGGCTCTTTGATGACAAGAGATGGTTGATCTGAGATCGGTGTGATATATGACAGCTCAAAAATGCTGACACAATAAGAAAAGGAGAAAGATATCTATTCAAGGGTCTATATATATATGTGTGTGTTTCTCCTACCAAGAGGAAATTCCCATAATTGCTATTAGTCTCATAGGTCACTGTGGTCATTAATTCACTGAATTTTGTATCATTATTCTGACAAATCAGTTTCAATTTGAATTATTGACWACATTTATAATGAATTGTTGTTTTGCAGGTCAGAAAATCTGTCATGAGAGAAGAAATGACTCGTGAACTTGGTTTATGATCAGGCAC